AAAACAGTTTAGTGCAGGACGTCCAAAGATATTAACCGGAGGATGAGCAAACAGACAAACTGATAAGGGCTGAATTTTACTCAGGTGTAACTAAAGTCTGATTTAAGGGTTGTTTATATTTCAATCATTAATCAGAATCTGCAAAGTAACACAAATAAATGTATGTAGAGTAAAAATACCAGGTTAACCTCTGGAATTGTAGTGGAGTTAGAAACAAAGTAGTATATGCTGCTGTAACAAAAACATTTCCCAACTTGGGATCAATAAAGTATCTTATCTTAAGATGATCGATGGCTACTGCCATATTTGCTAAAGGTGCATCTGAACCTTGACAAGAGCATGTTTCAGGCTTATCAATTAACAACAGGAGGGGTCACAGACATAAGACCAGCTGTTAAATAAAGCTCTTCTGACCTTAGCTGTCATGTGGGTATATTAATGCTGCCCATTATGGACACAAGCCAATTTTCACCCATGTATTAATTATATGTTTTAAATTTGATAACACCAATGTGTTTCGTATCCCCTAAACCTCCAGGGATGTATACAGTTTAATACTGGCAACTTCTAATTGTGGGAAATACGAAAACGTCTTTTAAAACTCCAATTCCCAGTAGAGACGTGCCATCATGTTGCGAAACACACAATAGCCAGCATGTGTAATTCTGGGGGGGGGGGGGGGGGTTAGGGTTACCCTAATCCCTAACCCTAATCACAGAGGGTTTGTAAAGCAATTAGGCGGATGTTGTAGTCCCAAACGATAGCTGGGGATTCTGGGTAGTGTAGTGTCTTCGGAAACTCTGTAGGGTCTAAACTCAGAGAAAAAAAAAAGTGTTTCTCCGAATCGAAGGTTAAAAACACAAAAGCATTGTACACAATTTAAACCAATCAATATTGTGTAATTAACAAGGATAAACTGATGTTTTTTAGTGGATGAGTAATGGAGATATCACGGTGTACTCATTTGACAGTGTGGGAATACTTCCGGTTTTATTATGAAAACTTCGAGACCGGAAATAACTGTTTTCACCCACGCTAACTTTACATGGAAGCTGCCCCATATACAGTACACGTTCTCCTGGCCGAGACCTCAATCATCTTCGTATATCTATCAAACTGTAGATCCCACACATCCACTGGACGTAGATTATAAAAGTACAATATACACTTCTCGCTAGAAATCTAATAAAAAAACATTTTAATGGCCAAACTATTCCACAATTTAGGATTTTCCAGAGAGGGTTATTTGTGAATAAACGACCCTCCGGAGCGTTTGCAATCGACAGGAGCATGTTGTTTCTTACACGACCACTAGAGGTGCTACACTTTAAAACGTGACTCTGGGTCGTATTTAGCTGCTGAACAATCGACCTATATGGTCGTTTTTTGTAGGAGGACAGGCTGGTTTCCCCCTCTGAACCCTCACTGTGAAAGCAGCAGGTTTGTTAATGAAATGCAGTGACTATACCAGACATATCTCCAGGGTAGGATGTCTGGATTAAAATGTGGGAAAAAAGCACACGCATTGCTTTGGCCCAATTCAGCTTGTGTCTAGGTTTTTTATTTGTGTATTTTTTTTGATGTTGTAAAAAACTGACCTTTAGTGCAAGCTACATTTCCAGCATGCATTTATGCCACAATATTACCAAATGTTGTGTGAAATGCCTCCAACTCAGGCAGGTATCATCGCTGGCCGTGGATCACAATACCAAAACCCCAGTGACACATAATCAAGGCTTACTGTCAAGGACACCTCTGATAAAACCAGAAGTGACTTTCACATCGCTGTGCTGTACACTGTTCTCAACCTCAAATGGCGTTACACTGGCTGCTGATCTCTTTTCCCACAGCAAGTTTAGCTCATGCGGAAAAAAGCCTGCCCGAAAGCAGAGGTGCCTGCCATCAGAGACAAATGGTGATACATCGGGGTGTTTGCGAAATTAAAAAAGAGAGGCTGCTGACAGAGTCTGAAGCTGGCAGTTGAGACAGGAACTCTGCAGCCTCTCGTTCCCCTTCCTCTCAAGCAGTCAGGTGGTGAACGCCTGTTTGAAGCTCTCCCCCCGGGCTCCAGGGTTCTGTGGGATCCGGGTGTGCTGACACTGTTAGCACGCCTGATATGAGAGCCTGATCAAAGCTGGCTCATTCTGCCTGACCGATTTCCACAGGATTAAGGATTAGGGAGACAGGAAACTGGGAGAGGCACAGAGACAATCTCTGAGAGACAAAAAAAGGATCGTTAGGGAGAGTGAAAGGGATGGACAGATGCAAGAGGAGACAGAGGGGGTCATATGGCACTGGCAGAGAACATCTTAAAGGTGGGGTAGGTAATTTTGGAGAAACCATCTCGAGTGCGCTAGAATTTGAAATTACACAGCCGGAAAAAATCTGCCACTTCCTTACAGAGCCCCTCCTCCAACACACACGAACGCGCACATGACCAATGAGGGCACGAGATAAATGTGTGCACAGATGGAAGGCTGACAGGCAGGTAGGCCATCCAGTTATTTTAGCCGGGCCGGCTAAAATGATTGGTTGTGCTTTTTACAGTACTACGCGGCTTCCACAGATGACATTTTTTAATGGATTTTTTGTCAAAGCACTTGAGATATTATTCATTACTATCGGGATGTTAAGAACATTCCATGGAATATAACACAAAGTGTCTCTCGAGCCGGTTTCTCAAACTTACCTACCCCACCTTTAAGAAAAATAAATCAGAGAATAAGTGTGAAGGGATTTAACAAACACATAAATCATTCATCAATTCATTAATAAGTAAAACAAAAAGTACATTCAGAGAGCATTATAAAAGAGGCTTTTCTGTAAAACCCACATTTGGAGTGATTTTTAAAAGACAATGCAGCTTTAGTTTATCACCTTCTGTAAACAAACACATTTTCCCAGAGGACCAGGCTGTGCTGCAGCCCAGGAAGTGTTAACTCTGATATCTAGCCGGGAGATAAACCCTGCTGTGCTTTAATAGTGTAATCTTGAAATCAATTCTAACTAACAGGGCACCAGTGTAGAGCCGCTCAACGGGGGGAGAAATGATCGTTTGTCCTTCTTTTGGAGGACTACGCAAACAGGAAAGGGAATCTGGCAGTCTAAATGTAATACATGTAAAAGATATGTGCCATGGTTTAGAGGTCAGCAAATAATAAACATTTAAATATTTTGGAAATTGCTTTTCAAATGACTGAGGTATCATTAAAGCAAATATCCTAATAAAGTCACATAAGTCATCAAGTAGATTGTTCATGGTCCTGGATAGGTTAGAAGTCTTAACGGCAAGTTGAACATATTTTTGTCACATTAAGTAATTCTAGTAAAAAATAAAGGCCTGTGATGGCTACAATCTTCAGTGTTCTTCAGTTGACAATAGCATATTTAAAGTAATAGTAGAGCAAAATGAAAGTCTATGACCTAGCTAGCAACTTGTAAGAGTGTTTTTTAAAGGTTTGTTTATCATCACCTTTGAACAGCATACCATTTTCTATTAGCCTAATAATCCTCTCATTCATGACAAGATTTGATTCAAGAACATCAAAACATGCAAAGTGTTCCTTTCACACCTTGAGGTCGCTCTCCTGTGTGATGTGGTCCGGGTGATTGTGACAGGACATTTGTACTGATAACAACAGCTACTGAGCCTTGGCGGAAACTACCTAGTTTATCAGACCTTTGTACGTGACATCTCGGAACCTGCATGGTGTATGAAAAATCGTGTGTTTAATAGTCGTCGTCATGGAACATCCCAGTGTGTGAGTTTTGGGTGTTTTTGTGGCAGGCATCAGTTTCATGCACCTGACTAACATCATGTTATTGCACTGCTGTCTGTTGGTTTCTGTTACTCATTTTTCAGAAGTCCAGACCGTAGACTGTGCACAAGAGCCGAAACCGAGAGATGATGCATTTCTACATGGCCTCTAAAAGAGGAAGGGACTATAGGTTGAGATTGAGCGTCTGTTACAGGTAATTACCGATCACACTACGGAAGCGGCGGAAGAAAGGTCAGGGAGAGGCAAAGTTACACACCCCCACCAGATGTGCGCCTGCTCTGGCCTATAGCCGATTCATTATCTCACAGTTCATGACACCAGGGATGGTGTCCAGGCAATTGCATTACACTACACACACACACCCTGAGCAACCCGATCTGGGGATTTTTCCTGTTCTGTGTGTTTGTATGTGTGTGTAAGGAGGAAGGGAGGAGTCCTTTTACACACTGGTGGCATCCATAATGACAAAGCAATAATTCGCATAGTGCTCCAGCGCTGTGATTATTATGTTCCCATGTGTTCATGCATGCATGTGTACTCTGCGGCTGCAGTGAAGCAAATCGCGTTCATTATTTTTTGGATTGTTCTTAAAGATAAACAAGAAGTGAAGGAAATAAATAAAGAAGCTGACCCATTCACACCCCGTGGCATGATGCCTCATTTGCCCGAGCTTCTATCAATTGTTGGTTATAGCCAATAGCAATAAAGGAAGTAGTCCCACTGTCACAGAAACAGTTGGCACGGAAACAGCACATTACACCATCGTCCAATCCCCCTCCCATTCCTTTGTCGTCATTTCTCATCTCCCCTCCCTCCCTCCCTCTCCTCTCCTCTCCTGTCCCCTCCTCCTCCTCCTCCTCCTCCTCTTACCTCTCTCCCTATCTTGTATGTTTTTTTCAATCATCAATGAAATCACAACCAACCCTGCTGCTGGCCTGTCAGCAGGCATATAAAAAACCTCAAGAAACACATCCACTCTGTATCACCTCCATTCTAGCCGGCAGGGCTCAGATTCCTTAATGACCAATGTATATTTAATCATTATAGCATGACAAAAATATGTTGTAGCTACCCCATCCAAGCCTGTTTTCTCTCTCTGTTACTCTCATGATTTAATCCTGACCATTTCCCCCTTCTCTCTCTATCCCTGCTGACTCCTCCCTCCATTTCTGTCCTCCACTCCCTCGCTCTGCCTCTCTGTCTCTGACACACTCAAACACACGCACACATATATACACGCCCTCCACCCCCATCGCTGCAGTGTCTCAACTGCCTTGGAGCAAACAAGAGAGGATATAGAACGCAGCAGACGTTAATAAGACAGAAATAGAGGGGAGACAGAGAGAGATAGAGGAGAAATGTAAGTGAGTGTGTGTGAATATGAGGAAGATATGAAGATGAAACAGCAGGACTAAAGGTGGATTGCACAGAGCCTTTCTCTCCCTGCAAGGGCTTGTCTGCAGTATCCTTTGTAAATGGATGCTGCCTTGTGAACACGGTAAGCCTGACTACTCTCACACAGACACAAAGCTTTTTTGTAATCACTGGTTTGGACACAGAGGAGGAGCGAGACGCTTTAAAATTACAGCTATTCTGTGGAGAGCGAGTGTGTTTTCCTGATAAAATGGGGAAGGTGATGTTCAGAGATGGCACCAAGGAAGGCTGTCCAGTCCCCTCCTCCACCCTGCTAGCTCTGTGCCAACGGACGCTGCTATCTTATGCTTGCAATTTGACTCATCATCTCCCCAGAGCATCCTTAATACTTATAGGATGCTTTTATCTCAACGCAGTGCTTAGTATGTGCAATTACTGTATGTAGGACAAGTGAAGGATGCATCAAAGATGAGTGCGTGTGTGTGTGTGTGTGTGTGTGTGTGTGTGTGTGTGTGTGTGTGTTTGCATGTACGTGTCTGTGCTCTGTCCAGGCAATGAGCTATGAAATGGAAAGAGGAGAAGTGAGAGAGTATACGCACACTATCAGGTGTTCAGTACTTACAACTGGCTTTACGTGAATGTGCAGTGGGAGGTGTACAAATCCCACTGAGCTCGCGGGCACTGACATTTGACAGTGAAGATTTCTGTCTGCTGTTTTTTTGGGGGAAAATGTACATCGAATTTTGTTAATAACCTCGAGCTGAAATGTGTTTTTTGAGACGGTCTATGAATGTAAGTCTTAACGGTGAGAGGGAGGGAGCAGACCGTGTTCATTACTCGGCATGCAAAACAAGATGATTTGTGAAATTTTCTGCTTCAACATCTTTCCCAATCTTTCCAATTTTTAAAGCCTTCCTGTGTTTTTTTTTTCAATGGGGGCTTGGGCTCGGTTGTGCATCCTCAGAAGAGCATGTGTATTTGTGCGTACTGTATGTATGTGCTTGTGAGGGCTCATGCTTGAGAGAGAAAAAGAAAAGAGAGCGAACCAGTGCAGGGAGGGGTCGAGGGGCTGGGGGGTTTAACAGTAGGGAGGCAGATGGGGCAGAGGGGCGGAGGTTGATGCAGTAGAGAGCAAGAGAGAGTGGAAAGAGAAGATTTGGAACAGATTGGATGAAAGAGCGGCCGTGATAATTTCACGGTGGTAGCGAGACAGCGCTTTTCTGAGCATGTGACACAGAAAGAATGCAGGATGCGCCTGTGATAGTTCCTCCGGCAGAAACTCACATCGAGGCCTCAAGACATCTTTGAATCACGGACAAAGATGACGGATAAATTCCACCATGCCTTTATCTCTTGAGCACTACTCACACAAAACATGGATCATGAAGCATTAGATTGATACTTCTGCTGAACTTGTGTAATGTTGCCTGATTGGGGTTTATGGGAAAAACTGAATAGTAATATTGATCGCTGTTACAGTGCAATGCTAACAGATTGAAATAAGCCTTATGGGCAGCTGAGAGTTACATTGAAATGTTTTCATAAAAAAAAAATAGCTTTACATTTTGGAATTCAGCTAAGCAGTTTTTGGAGCGTACAAACTACGTTTTTTCAGGATGTGTGTTGGCTAAAATGCATCTCAATCATGCTTTATTTCTTTTCCGATCTTATATTACTAGATAAATCAAATGCATCAACATCATGTGTTTTTGAAGTTTAAATGACTCAAAGCGCAGTAAACTGGTCAGTGCAGTATTGGTTTCATTAAAACGTCAAAGAGTTGGGATTTAGGATGGTTAACAATGTGCACATACTTAATTCTCCATGATGCTATCTCAAGAGAAGATGTCAGTGTGAAGGAAAAAAAAACAGTGGCCTGTAACAGAGGCGGATTTAGGATTGTAGGAGATCCGGGGCTTAGCCCAGGAGTTGTTGGGGGGGGGGGGGTGCAGGGGTATAGTGCTATTTTTTACAAGTGAGGGGTGGACCGAACATCTTTTAGGGGGGTCGTTGCCTCCTCTAGGGAGGTCCAGGGGCATGCTCCCCCGGGAAGATTTTTTTTTTAAATATTGAAGTTAAAAGCATCAATCTGGTGCACTTTGAGAGCAACATTAACCCTACCTTAATAACACCTTAAAGCGGACAAAAGGCACTGGAGAACACTTATTCATTAACACCCTTTAATGAAGCAAGCTAATGCCTTAACTCACTCAAATACAGTCGTTTACTTATTTCGGTGAAACGAATGTGCTAGAGTTTTAAAGGATGCAGATAGTCTCACCTCTATTCTGGCGCATTGCTTATCGTTTTATAGATCTATTCTCATCCACCATCTTTGTTTGTGACGTAAAGAGTGTAAGAGTCACGTTTCTGAATCGGACACTGAATGCAGTCACAGCCAATCGGAGTCTGATTCAGAGGGTTGCCTGTCAGTTCCGTTGCCTGTCAGTTCCGTTGCTATGGTTCCGTTGTTATGTGTACTGAAACCAGAGCTGGTATACTTCCACAAACGAAAACAAAATAAAAATTGTAATACGTTATTTTAGTGTCTTAAAAGTAGAGGTATGAAGGGTTAACGTTACATCTTAGGATAATTTGTTGTCATTTAGTTCTGTATACATACTAACATATAAGGGTATACTTAGTGTGGTTACTCCATGTTTACTAGCTATAACATTAACGTTACATCACTCTTTTTCACTTCTTACTCAGTCAGCCAGAGTGCAGATATCACCATTAGATTCACAAACCTGAAACATCATCTATTTGTTCACTGCTGGTGATGATATTGTTGTCAGCTGCTGATACTGCTGCTGCTGCTTGTGGCGCCTGCTTCGATGAAAATAACTTTCTAATATCCATAACTTTATAGGCTATTAGCTTAAAACTCGTCAGGCACTAGGAAGGATCACTTCTTCTCCAGGGCAGGGAAGGCTACGCAGTACGCAGGCTACTGTCCCGCAGCGGCTGCCTCTCTGGTGGACTCCGGTACTGCACATTACTCCCGAGACGTTTTGGAAAACATTTAAAAAAAATTGTTTTAAGTGAAACATCCGGGGCTTGAGCCCAAGTAGCCACCCACTAGCGCCGCCACTGGCCTGTAATATCACACCCAGAATCAGAACTGCGTGCTCGGCATCAAATGTCTTGCATGCAAACAGTGTGTCAACAACGGTGTCTGGCACCCACAATTAATTATCTTTGATGATTTTTTGGCTAGCTGTGATCTCTCAATATCAACTACTAGTCTCAGTTACTTGATGACCAGTGGAAGACAAACCAAGATGCCATCCACTATGTCCAAAGCTCTAATGAACCCTAATCATTTCATTAAATGTTTTCCTCTGTGACCTGTTAAATAATGTCAGGTTAATGATGACCTTGGCTTCAAAATGATGGATGACGAGGTCCAGCACCAAATTTAAAGGTTAATCACATGCTTACATAATGGGTCCTCACTAGGTTTCACACACAAACACGCACACACACGCACACTGACAAATGTCATCATACCCTTATTGAGAATGCTTTTAACATATTTAAAAAAATAAATAGAAATGCCCTGATAAAGGGGTTTTGTTAAGCCAACCTCAACATGAATTCTTAAACCGGTTGAAGACACATCACATAAATTAAGCATAAAGCCTCTGCCAACAGCATCAAAGCGTTTTATCCTTTTTAGTTTCAACGGCAATACAGTTTGTTGCCACTCGAGCAACCGTTCTGCATATGGAAACGAGAGAAATGGTGTGACACAACCTATGCTGAGTTGACCTCCTTCCACCTCCTTTGTTACTCGCTACATCCACTCCACTGGGTGACATAATGGCAGGGGACAGCGAGAGAGACTTGGTTTCAAAGCGACAGAGGCTGTTGAGGTGGCGGCTTTTGCACTGAGGAGGTCAGTGTCACCGTGCGCGTCCGGTTCACTTCCAGCCGTCTAAAACATTTAAGGTGAGCACAGAGCTGACTTGGACAATTAAACTCAGCTCTATTACAGTTAAGTACCAAGGGGGCCAAGCGCAGTTCCCTCTGCAACCTACTTAATAAATGATTAATCTTAGATGTCACTCATTTCATGGAGAGGGAGTACCCAAATGATCACAAGTTTTTTTGACATGTGCTTAAGTGGTTGTAAAAAAATAGAACCTGCAGAGACAATGAGATGACTCTAGAGTAAATACGTGTCCGTCAAGTTCAAACCTCTCAGTTGCTTTGTCACTGTAAGTTCAGACAGGGCTCAGATTCAGCTGGCTCAGCATTTGTGTTTGTATTGGGTTTTTAAATCCTTGCCAGGTACTGGGACAAAATGTCATCTCCACACAAATGGCCAGCCAACACTGACGCAGAGAGGACTAATAAATGACTTAAAAGAAAAGCTTCAGCGAGGAAAGCTGTCCACTGAATCAAATACAAAATCTTAGGGCGGGGCACTGAATGAGTAAGGATTAAGAAATCTGTGGAAGCTACATGAAATAACATCAGCTCAATTCATCCCTCTTTCTCCTCCTTGTTCTAATCTTTGCTGCTAGTCACATACAGGGGCCAGTCTGTTTGATGCCGGTGAGTGAGAGGGCCTTACTTACAGCACTCAAATCTGAGAGGGCAGCACAGAGGGGACTAACAGAGCAACTTTGTCTTCCATTGCACACACATAACAGCGGTCATATGACAACAAGGAGGTGGAAGAGAGGGAGGGGGATGATGAGAGAGTGTATGGCCTGCTACCCACTGGGGAGGGATGAGAGTCTATACTGTGTGTGTATTGGTTAAATATAGGCCTACCTGTATTACTTCTGTGATATTTCTACAGGTTTTCTAGAAGACATTTGAAGTTATGAGCACAACATTGACCTGCTTTTTAAAGAAAGTACCTGACAGTGGTGTCCACATCCTGTGGGGAAATCAGTTCTGGTTTCCAATGTTTAACATGCAGTATAATTGTCTTTCCCTGTTTGAACAGTTGACATTTTCTCATATCTTTCCCCTCCCCACACATTACATAATACATACAGTTCAACTGTGCTGGCATGGTTGGCTGGCATCTGTTAGGGGCTTGGCAATATAGCAAGATTATACATAAGTGCATTAAAATATAGGTGTGGCTTCTTTGGACGGTGATTT